GATGTTCGATTATCATGGTGATGACTTATCTTGTGAATGATTGACTTGATTCTTGAAATGAATGACTTGATATTCCTAAAAGGAATGATATTGATTCTTGAACCTACTGTCAATGTTCTCAAAACCGGACCGGACCGGCCGGTCCGACCGGTTCAACCGCGAACCGGTGACTGGTCCGGTCCGAGTCGAGTTCGAAACCCGTAAATGCAGAAAAACCGGGTCAACTGCTAAATAACCGGTTGAATCACGGTTGAACCGGCAAAAACCGGTATAAACCGGGCCAAAAAACCGGTTTATGCAAAGGGAGAAGAAAAATGGAAAACTACTAGAGACAAACACAAACTGAAAAATATTTACGCCTTCTCTTTGAAATTTGATTTTGCTGGAGGTGGTTTCAGTAGAAGATTAACACCCTATGATGTTGTTGAAGAGTTGGGGTAGGAGAAAAGAAAAAGAAAAAAAAAATTGGAAAACAGAGTGGCGGATGAATGGTGAAGGAGATAGTGGAGGCGTAGGTTGTTTGGGTTGATAATGAACATCTATACATATATTAGGGTTTGGGGGATACTTAAGTAATTTGACTAGAAATGTAAGTGCATATTTTTTTGTTTACTGTTGATTTATTAATTTGTATGAAATACATATATAATTAATATCTAAAGGTATGTGTAAATAAAATAGAATTAGTAATTTATTGATTGGGATATTATGTTGTTATTTTGTTACTTCGAAATTTATATAATTATATTCATTATTAATTTTATTGACATATATAATCTATAAATTATGCTGTTATCTTGAAAACTTTATCTATATTCCCCTTAGATTTCAATTATATCGAGGATAATTAATAAATTAGAGTTTTAGGTTGATTTTTAATGAATTATATAATTGTTGAATGTATATTTTTATAGTTATCATCTTAAGATTTATATATTATTAAAAAATAAAAAATAAATACAAAAATCCGGTCGGACCCCGGTTGAACCGGTCCAACCGTGACCCAATTGATGGTCCGGTTCTATGTCCGGTCCGGTTTTTAAAACATTGCCTACTGTCCCCACCCTTGAGGACGCTCTTGGGGGAGCTGGGCCCTAGGACCATTTCGGCAAGACGATCGGGCAGTATTGGGCTGACGATGACTGGTCTCCCGAATGGTACCTCCTGATGGTTCGGACTCACGTTCGTTTGGAGTTGAACGTTCTTGAGCCGGATCGGCACGTTCCGGTCGTGCCTCTTGCTTGTTTCCGACCGAGTGGCCACTCGGGACGGAGTGGAGGGATAAGGATGTGATATGATTTTATTTGTTGGGAGTTACAAGGTTGGAGACCCCACTAAATATTGAACTTGAGCCGTACATGTTACACTTTTGTACATGTTACACTTCTGTTAATGAAATTATTGCAAAGTCTCTCGTTATATGTTATGTTCATTCTCATCATACTCCTGGATCATATGTTTTTCACTAAGTCATTCGGACTTATTCGTTTCTCATTTCTGATATTAATGCGCAGGAAAAAGAAAGATCTATACCTAAATTTTCATACCAAGTGTTAAAGCTTGTGTATGCCTCTGACTAGTCTCGTCGAGAGGTATCTCTAATAATGTTCCGTATAGGATCCTTTGATCGAGAATTTTGTAACATAGTAAGTAGTGTCGAATTCGACTTGTGATAGTATCCCCTTTTTGTAAACACGTATATATATTGGGGTTTAACATTTTGATTATCGAAATTTTGAGAAGTACATTTGGGGTCATTGAATGTACTGCATGTTGAGTGGTGTTTCGCCACGAGGTGCCACCTACTCAGGGCGGGGCGCTACAAGTTTTAGGTAACTGCATGCGAATTTACTGTTAAACTTGTCAATAGTTACATAATACCGTGCATTGTTGGTGGTAATACCTACACGCAAGTGCACGTATCGTACGAGTAATAAAGTGGACAATTAAGTCCAGATATCGATCACATAGAGAATATTTAATTATTTAATCCTAGACGCTAAATTCTAGCAATTATTATCAAGCTCACCCTACACAGTCGAATTTAGAGAGAATTAACTAAATTAAACTATATTAAAAAGCAAGCAAAAACAAGAAATCAATTTAAAACGAAGATTTAATCAAAGTAAACGAGCCTAAGATTTTATTATTCCCCCTATGTGATTATTACTCCCCCAATTCCTTCAATTATGCAAGTGAGTAACTCGAATTATTAACATGAGATGCTAAATTAATCATAACTCGCTTCCGCATGTATTACGATTCTAATACTCTAGATTCAATTACTGTATTCCTGCGTAATTAATTCTTGAACACAACATTAAGCACAAATCTCAATAATGGCTACCTAAGAGATTAACTATATTCCTATGTTAATACCACAAAGGCTCTCCTACCACAGTTCTAATTATTAACCCGATCATCCGATTCATGCGATTAACAATAACATAAAAGCACATAAGGTGATCAAGTTCATGCACTTAATAAAACAAGTAGAAGAAATAATCCGGAATTAAAATTGCATAAAATCATAAAATTGGGTTCATAAATCCCACATAGGGTTCCAAATAAAATCCTAGAAATAAAGACTTAGCTACTCGTGATTCTTATGATAAAGAAAATAAAATAAATAAAAATAAGAAAAACTATGCTTGAGTCTTTGTTGATCTTCGTTCCTCGCGTTTTGTGGTGTATAATTTTGTGCTTATGGTGTGGAGACTTGTTGCTTTTATAGGCTTTTCTTGATAAGGAAGTAGTGGAAACCTAATAGGAATCAATTTCCGCCACTTTCCCCCATCAGGATTTGTTCTTCGATTTTCGTCATGTTGGAGTCCGAATTTTGGAATGTTGCGTGAATAAGAATTGTAGCCCTTGAAATTAGCTTTCCATTGCCGACAAAATCAGCTGATTTGGAGTTCGTATGAGAGAGATATGCTCGAAATGATGGACACTGCCAAAGCTGTGGCGAGATTCTTTCTTCCAATTTGATTTATTTCCTTATTTTCAACTTTTTCCTTTCTTTTTGATCTTTTTTCCTTCATGGACACATAATTCTCGTTTTTGACCTATAAAACACAAAATCAATCAATTAAAGCACAAATATAATTAAATCTAAACAAAAGATACACGTAAAGTAAACGTATTGAGCGTAAAATCTACACTCAACATGCATCATCAAGTTTATTGTTATTTTCAAATACAAATGTACACTGTTCTTCACTTATTTTATTATGACTTTCCATCAAAAGACCTTGCTTTGCTTTAATCTTCCCACGTATCATAAAGAAAATTTGTTTCGTGCATATACTAGAAGCATGTTTCTCAAGCCCTTGAAGAGGACTCTCTCTAATAGCAGGTTTGAATTTCTCTAAATCGTCTAGGTGACTAAAGAAAGTAAGAACTTCTTAACCCTTGTATTTTGTGTTACAAACTAGGCAAAACTCATCCTTTCAGTGACCGCAAGCTTGATCAATGAGTTCATAGATTCAGCCCTCTGTGTTGCACATGCTATGGCCTTAAAATGTCCATGAATTTATGTTTCCCACATCTTCTTTTTCATGTACATGTCAATAACACATTGCTCTTCTGTTACCTTATACATCTTAACCATGTTAAGCGAACTTATCTCAAACTCGTCAATGAAGCACGATCACTTCAATAATCTCATAAAGTCAGAACAAAAGTCTGGCACTTTTATATTATGCCGAACATTTCTCCGAAGATGCCAACTGCAAAGCCTATGCTTCGCTCTAGAAAATTCTGATGAAATTGTTGCTACCATAGATGAGTCCTGATCTATTAACACAAAACCCCGAACTTTGCCATTCATTGTCTCAAGAAATGCTTGCAACAACCATCGATATGATTCAATTGTCTCGTTGTACATAAAATGTGCACCAAAAGTAAACGTCGAACCATGGTTGTTGGTACCAAAAATAATAACTAGAGGATAAAAATACTTGTTTGTCTTATACGTACTATCGAATATTAAGACATCGCCAAATAATTCATACTTAGCCCTGGAAGCTCCATCACACCAAAAAAGTTTTGAAAGTGCCTCTTGGTCATTCACTATATATTTGTAAAAAAACTCGTTATGTTTTATTTTCATGCTTTTAAATAAATATAATGACGTGTTTCTTGATCATTCACTGCATATTGTTCAACCAATTGTAACCATCTTTTTTCGTGAAAGACATTTTCCAACACCTCCACCAAGTTTCTCCAACAAATCCATAACTTGGCAAGGCCTAAACACGACATTTGTCATTACATTCAGCATGCACTTGTCGGCCATTGAAATATACCTATGAAGGGAATCAAATGATGAATTTTAAAAAAATTATGCAAATAACAATAAAAGTTGCGACTAAAATAAACTAGTAGATTTTGTACCTCTTCTTGAAACTTGTAAATCGTGATTACGTTGAGGTTCAAACTTTGTGAATCAATAATGCCCTGAAAAACGGTCACGTGCAACACGAAAGCATGTTGTACAACCACGCCTGGTCACAACTTTTGCCTCTCCCTTCCTAGTATAGTCATTTGGTTGTCTCCAAAATCCCTCACATCTGCACACCCCTTTCCTATACTTTACGATGTCATCAGCGTTTAGCGTTTTACACCTTGTTTCCTAATGCCAAAACCAACTACACTGGCATACAATGTGTAGAGTTTCTCTGCATCATCAACATTTTGGAATACCAATTGTCTGACCGCATCCTCAATGATATTCTCAAAATTGAAATCAATTGAATCACCTATATCACTAACATGTGATAATGCATATCATCCGTGCAATTACTTTCGTCATTATTAAAAGGTGAAATTGATTTCTCATTGTCAGCATCAAAATCCATCATACCTACAAAATATGATTTCAAAGAAACTTGAAAAGTTACAATTACTCAATTTCACGAGCTATTTATTACTAGTTACTCCAAATTAATTGAGTTAACGAATTCATATTGCAGAACTGATATATGATTTTTAGGTCTACATATATTCTACTATTCTCATGGAATGAGAAATGTAAGCAATAGAAAGTAAAATAAAATTATAAAGCTCGATGGAACAATTTGGAGTTAAATTAAATAATTTCTTTTGACAAAGTTGGAGCACATTAGGTAAGTTGAAAAATCACACGCTTGCAAAATTTTAGACCTATAACAGAACCAGCATATAACTAACAAAATCATGTTGTATCATAAGCAAGAACAAATTTTTTTTAGGGCATAAGCAAGAACAGACTTAGATTCTTTTAATGCTAAAAATAATATATATTCTTTTAGTGATGTTCTAGAACATCATACAAGAAACTCATGGCAACTATCAATTACAATTCGCTGGGATCTCCCCGTATTACAAAAGTAAACAAACATTTTTTTGTGATTCACAAATCAAGTTGTATGCGAGTATGGCTATTTTGCACAGTTTTGCACCTTGTTTGCCTGCAATTTATTTATAACAAAGATTTCACTTTCTTGAAAATATAATGTATTTATTTATATTTTATAATTCAAGAGAGTTAGCAAATGAACCACTACGCGATTCAGCAGAGCAGTGCCGCCTATGAAGAGATGAGAGGCAAATGTTGGGGAAACTATTAGTAACTACATGACGTGTAACAGATGATGAATATGAAAAGAACCAACAATAGATTAGATTTTTGTTTAAGTTTCCAATCTTTATTTCACACAGAAGAGAAGAGAAGAGAGATAGTACCTTGACTATTTCCCTGCGTTTCGATGATGATGAATAATAGTAAAAGACCGATGATGATGATGATGATGATGATAATGATAAATTGTTTTAGACGACCTAATCCTTCGTGGCACATTCTTATTGCTTGATTACGGTCCGAGGCGTATAACCGTCTCGGGCCCTAGACAACCCCGACAAATTGGGGTGACTGTTTGGAGAAAATGAGAGTGAGATAAAATAGACGATGGAATTGATGGAATGGGATAACAAGATTGGCTTAATCCCACTTTGCATCCTTGAAATAGAGCCTTTTGGGTAGTTTGCACCATTGTAAAATAATAATAGCACTTTGCACCCTCAAAACACAATAAATCAATCACAATGCACCATGAATTGAATAATAACGGCAATTTCATTTTCTATTGGTTTTTTTTCGGGATGTAAAATAACGAATTAAATTGTTATTTTATTCAAGTTCCAATCTAATTTTGAGCGCACAAAGTGTGGAAAAATAAAAATCATGCCCGATTATTAAAAATCTATATACAATAAAATAAACTTTTATCACTAAATTATTCAATTGATGGATCTTTTAACATGTGGAAATATTAGGTAAAAATATTTGGAAGAAAATATTATTTTCAGATACCTTGATAACGAAAT